TTGAAGATAATTAAGGAAAACCATTTAGAAAGTAACAACTTCAACACACTGTATCTCGAAAACAGAACACACTGTATCTCGAAAACAGGGCATCTAAGAAAAAAACTTTACATGAACTACCCCCATTATTTTCCCTTGAGGAACTTGCACACAATTTTTTTTAAACATGAACGGTACACCCTCTATAATAATTGATAATAATTTATTTTAGTATTAATTATTATTATATTGCTAAAATGATAATTTATATTTTATTAGCAGCTAATAATGTACAGGGTTTCTTCACAACCTATTTTTGTCGGTGGCATATTTCTGTCAAATCAACTGAACTAAATATGCAGTAAGTTAAAAGAGATGAACGAAGAACGAAAATATCAAATAAGAATATTCCAATAAAACTTATTCCATAAGGAAGTGTAGAACAAAATATATCTAAATGAAAATTGGATCAGTATATTTATTGGAAGACAAAGAAGAAGATCAAAACAAAGAAAAATTAACTTACTTCAGCAATTCTATAAAAATATTATATTTTGTTTTGAATTAATTACTGATTAAGTATTTGGTTACCTCATTTTATTTTGTTGCCTTGTCCAACGCTGTATGAAATCTTATACTTTCCTTCCACAGTTTTGTAAAGATGTATTGGAATAAAAATGAGTCGATTTTCTGTTGTTTGTAATGTGAAATATATGCTACTCGAATCCTAGTCGTAAGTAACTAGTATACAGCAGTTCTTTAACATTCCACGCACCGAAAATCAGGTCTTATTCTATCTAGCACGTACGACATCCGCCACAATGAACGAATATTAATACGGTCAAAAGCTGTACTATTTGGAGTGATACATTTTGGCGCCGTACCCGTACAGGTAGAAGAGGGCCGTTCGAATTTTTCTCATTAGCCGAGGGTCAGGTAGAAAAAGCAAAAAGGTGGTCGGGGTGTTGCGGTATCGCATGCGAAATCAAGGAAGTTTTTTACGATCCGAACTGGATTTCTCGGAATTCGACCGCGAAACTATCAGAACTTTCCCCCTGACGTCTTGTTTTCGGGAAATGGCCGGTGGTTTTCTTATTTATCGTTAATTCATGTATGCAAATGCGTTTTGTTTCTAAATATTTAAATGAGGATCGTTAAAGCCTGGTGAATTTAAATATAAAAGGTTTAGAGGCTATGAATATTTATACCTGTACCCGGTATTATTAAATTAAATAGTAACGTTAACTTATTATGCCAAAACATTTGTGTTTCTAATAAAATAATGGCTTATATTGTGTTCGGCACCGAAAGGAACATTAACATCGCGCCTAATAACCATAACAAAAGGTTTATTTGTATTTTAAATCCAATTAATATTTACTTTTGTTAATAAATTTTTAACAATTAATACTTTTAATTAGCACACATGCTATGGTTTTTTATATTTACTGCTCACTTTTGTATAGGAATTTGATAAATAATCCTTGTAATATAAAAAGTTAGACCCTTGTCATTTGAATAGAAATTACATATTTTCTTAACAATGAATACTTATATATGTGAACCATCAGACTTTCTTATATTTCCATGTTGCTAGCTAAGCATTACTAATGACTTCGGTTCTGATGCATTTAGAACTGTAGTATGTAATTTTTGTTAATAAAAAATGTAAGTACTGTAATGACACGTTACTACTCTCAGACGAACCTCCCCCTTAATTTAACTTTCATACGTACACCGCATTAGGAGAATATATATGTAGATATTCACAGAAAAGCGACCGCCATCATTTTACAGTAGCAATTTCATGTTATTCTATATCCAATAGAACTGTTGGTACAGGGTGAATCAACGCCGTGGCAAGTTGATTTATCGCTAGAATATAATTGAGGCAAAATAATTTAAAATAGGTTCGGTTTGACTTATACAGGGTGATTCGATTTCGGAGGGCTGACTAAAGTTGTATTTTTTTAAATGGAATATTTATATTTTACATGGAATTATGCAACTTTTTCGTAATAGGCACTATGAGCCAAAAATCAGCCATTTCCGAGATATTAATATTTTAATAAAAAAATACATTTTCGGCGTTACACCTGATCGTGACTGATATACTTAATCGTTTTTTGAGATACAATCTAAGCAATCTTCACATTTGTTGTACTAGGTTCACCGTAAATTCTGAAGTGATCACTGTTTGTAAATGTCATACAGGGTGTCCACAAAATCGGACCAAATGTTATGTAAAAATTTTGTTGTTTTTTTTTTCAAATGGAGCACCCTGTATTTTTTAACGGGATGTGAAAGACCTTCTCAAAATCTACACCTTTCATAATAGGTGTTATATATTTTTAAAATGAGTATTTTTTGCCTCAATTATATTTTAGCGATAAATCCACTTTGCCAAAGCGTTAACTCACCCTGTATACAGATTGACACATTAATAATGGTACAGTGCTGACGTCAAATTGCGACAATTTTTTTGTTCTTCAGGGTGTTAGTCTAAAAAATATTTTCGATTTTTGGTAATATTTCCGAACGGTTTATCTTGAAACTTTACTACTACATTTGACGTCAGGAATGTTCCCTAAGATGTGTAGCACTAAATGAATCATCTGTAGAAGTAGGTATCACAAATTGCAACGAGAAAAATAAGTGAGAAATTTTAACAAGTGATTATAGTAATTTAGTTCTTGGGTAAAAAAAACAGGCTGACACTGAATGAAATCTTGAAATCTGAAAAGAATGTTTTGNACTGATATTATTTATAGATTACGATCTAATAACTTCTTTGTTACGTTAATTAAATAAAAAATATTAACTATCATTTGTATTTGGCATATACACTTTAAGTACTATCTCACTTTAAATTTCCGACAGATGTTGTAGCTATAAAACCGCTAGGTGGCGATACCAGCAAAGCTCACAGCGAATATGTACTATGAGCCAAAAATCAGCCATTTCCGAGATATTAATATTTTAATTAAAAAAATACATTTTCGGCGTTACACCTGATCGTGACTGATATACTTAATCGTTTTTTGAGATATAATCTAAGCAATCGTCACATTTGTTGTACTAGGTTCACCGTAAATTCCGAAGTGGTCACTGTTTGTAAATATCATACAGGGTGTCCACAAAATCGTACCAAATGTTATGTAAAAATGTTGTTGTTTTTTTTTCAAATGGAGCACCCTGTATTTTTAACGGGATGTGAAAGACCTTCTCAAAATCTACACCTTTCATAATAGGTGTTATATATTTTTAAAATGAGTATTTTTTGCCTCAATTATATTTTAGCGATAAATCCACTTTGCCAAAGCGTTAACTCACCCTGTATACAGATTGACACATTAATAATGGTACAGTGCTGACGTCAAATTGCGACAATTTTTTTGTTCTTCAGGGTGTTAGTCTAAAAAATATTTTCGATTTTTGGTAATATTTCCGAACGGTTTATCTTGAAACTTTACTACTACATTTGACGTCAGGAATGTTCCCTAAGATGTGTAGCACTAAATGAATCATCTGTAGAAGTAGGTATCACAAATTGCAACGAGAAAAATAAGTGAGAAATTTTAACAAGTGATTATAGTAATTTAGTTCTTGGGTAAAAAAAACAGGCTGACACTGAATGAAATCTTGAAATCTGAAAAGAATGTTTTGGACTCATACAAACAGCAAGCAGAAAGCATTGAAAAAATACATTAAACCACTGAATTCATAAAGATGATCTGACCCTTTGAAGGAGAGGTCATAGAAAAAATGAAATTGAAGCAGACCAACAAAAGAAATGTGGGGAAGTATGTAAAGAAAGGCTCAGTGAAACTACACTTATTATTCGTGGCTAAAGATGAAGTAATCGAAGTGTCGTCAATAATGACTTCTAATTTTAAAGGCTGTTGTTATAGCTGTTACCAAAATACACTTGAATCCACGCAATTTGTACTGCGAAATGACGTGGCATCCTTGGTGTAAAAATTGAACAAAACACCTGTATATCTAAAAAAGAAATTCTAATGTCAAAGACTGGATTATATTGGAGATGATATGTCGCCTTCTTCAGAAGAAGAACGTTGACATATCAAAATGTTATTATTCGACTTCTGGATTTTAAAATGATTAAATAGTGCTTGTTTATTATTTTATACATACACCAAAGTAGATCGTACTTTGTATAAGTCCGCTTGAATTAAATTCTGCATTTTTATTTTCCTTTAATAATTTTTCATCTGGTCTGTGTGTTACTAAACGTAAGTAATATTATTTTCTTACTTTTATTTATTGTGATTAATCTTATACTATTATTGTTATAGTGTTTGGGATAATATAATTATTTTTTTAAGTTTTACTCAGTTTACAGATGTTGGTGTTTTAGGATTTATCTCCTCCTGAAAGTAAAGCTTCATAGTATTTTACGAAGAAAATTTTCAGTTACGTGAACAAAAATAATATGATATCAAAAATTTCTTATGTAACAATCACGTTCCTATAAGAATTCGTCGCCCGACCGTCGCCAAAATTTGTAAACATTAAAAAATCATGTCCTGACAGCCCCATAACACAACACGAGACTTTCCCCAAAAGGGGTGCTCCCCCAAGGGGCCGTACAAGTATATGCGTTATGAAAAGCGCATTTGAAACCTGTTGCAACCCCTAAGACACCCTTTTAATAAAACGCCAACTTGAACCCCCGGGGTCACGACATTTTTTGGACCGACAGATTACGCCACCGGAGGAATCCGAACACTTGTTTATGAATAAGGAGGGAGGGCAGCTACCCCTGCGGATCCGAAGGGTTTATGATGAAGTGTTTGCAAATATTTATTAGTTGTTTATTGCCCGTGCGTTTTTAAGGCCCTGTTAAAGAGAAAGTTTACGACCCTTCTTTAAAAAAGCGTTTAGTGTGAATAGTTAAGTAGGTAACATGGAGGGAAGGTCCACGGTCTGTTTTTTAAGGTTCTCGGAAGGACTTGAATGATAATGGCTCTAAAAAAGTACTTTCGATATTCCGTACTCACCGTATTTTGTGTCTGCCGACGGTGTGTTGGGAGATGTGGTTATTTCTGCAACAAAAAGGAAAGTATTAACTTAAAAATGAAATTCAGAATCATTGCTGCAATCTGCAGGGAAAGCAAGGGTAACATTTCTTCCTAAAACGATTGTTAAAGACTTTATTTCTGTGAATGAACTGTATTGTATCAGGTTTGAAATCTGAATCTTCAGTTGTTTTGTAATCTAAAGCCACTGTTTTTTGTTTAATAAATTAAATAGTATCTCACTGTCAATGACTTCTGACATTGATCTGGTGTAGGAGAACTACGTAGCATCAATCCACTTGATGTGATATGACAATAGGACTTTAGGGGGACAAAAAAACAGGCGACGACCAACGTTAATAGATATTACCTTCAATCAAAGTTACACTCGGTATACTATGAACCTAGTCATCCACTATATTTTTTTTGTTATGTTACTGACCTTATATACGATGTGATAAAAAAAATACCATAAATGCTGCTGCTTACATGGAATACGAGAAATGATGCATTATACTTTAGTGATAATCTGTAATAAGTTACAACTTAATCGGTGTCGATTATATCCTACGTACGACTGAGTGGAGATAAATTTTGAAGTGTGTCGTGAGCTAATTATAAACCCTGAATTAATACGAAATTTTATTTCAAACTGCACAAAAGTAAATACAAATTAGAATTAGTTTGTGGTGATGATGGACTATGGAAAGTGGGTTGAACGATTTTTTAATGGTTTTGAACCGCTTGAAAACGAAGAACTAGGTATACTTTAACATACAAAATTCAAGGAAATCTTCTCAGAATAAACGAACTTATTTCCTCAAATGTGCAGTTGACTTTAAGAGACATTAAATGGTTCAGCTCAAAGCGTCATAATAATAAGCAAACTGGGTCATCCACCACCACAACAACATTCTCTGTTAACGCACTACTTCTTGTATGATAATTTCCATCAAACAAAAACATCCATCTTATTAATCGGATCTGGCATCGCGTGATTTCTACATTTCTACATTTTCAGTGCAGTACCTATCTTATATGAATGGGTGTACCACAAGGTTCCATTCTGGGCCCAGTTCTCTTTTAGTTTATATAAATGACTTAGATGACTTTGTTAATTACGTTTAGCGTAAATGAAGGGAGAGGTGTTGTCCAAAAGGATGTTAATGACATCGAATAACAAGATAACATTCGTGTTATTTAAAATCATATTTAAGTAGAAAATGTATAGTTTCTGCTTTGGAAAAGGATTTTCATCTAATATGTGTCATTGAGGTCTCCGCTCGTAAAACACAACTGACTGTTTTTATTCTATAAAATAATTAAGTTGTTGGAATAAATTCCATTGGAAAAATACTAAGCCAGATAACATCCTACTTGACATTACCTGGTCCTAAAATCTAGGCACTGTTTTAGACAGACGTCCGCAACGTTATTGGCTAAAATTTTATGAAAACATGTCACATTGTCATTAATAAAATAATTTAAACATATAGTAAACTCCTTTCTGTTGAATTGTGAGGTGGATCCTTGCACTGGACCATCTCCTCGACTAGAACATCGGCAATTATAATCTAATTAGACAAAAAGAGCTCATTCGGACGGACCCTCCGATACGGTCTTGTCTCGGAACCCGCGCAATATTTCTTCCCGGACGTGCTATAATGCGGACGTTCCGCCTCCTTACAAATTAAAATATTTATGTTTTGCATATCGCCTTGATTTATATTTTTTGGCCGGCCCCTTTAAATTAGCGGCCGTTTTGGTCTTTTTCGGGAACCGCTCGAGAACGCTACGGTGCCATGGGAACGCCGTTACCGATTTTAAACACCGTCGTGATCGATTAAGCGGAGATAAAAATGCGTTTTTGAGTACCGTTAAATTAAAACGTTTCTCAAAAAAAAAAACATATTTCGTGGAGTCAGTTTTTTAGGCAGACTTTTCTAAATCAATAGACTGGGATGATAGATACCTTGCAATGGCCTGCTCGAACTCCAGACCTCAACTACATTGATTTATTGTATAAGATATAAGTAACTGTAAAATATGAAGGCATAATTTTTAAATAAAATTTTCCTATTCTGCACATTTTTCATTTTTACTGGAAAACGAAACAAAATTGATTGAAATTGATTAGTATAAATTACGGACATAAAGTAGATTTTTTTTAATTTTTCATTTTCATGGTATTTTTACGAAGCAGTGGATATTTTTTTACAAACAAATCTGTTTTTTTTTAATATTCGCAGTAATTTTTCAGTTATCCGGTAAAATTTCTTCCATGATTTATGTTCATCCTAGTTTTTTTTTTGTATAATAATTAATTGTACTTTGTTTAATATAAGTAAAATACTATATAAAATTCTTAAATACGATATACAGGGTGTCCCGAAGTTCATGCTACAAAATTTGGTCACAGATTCTTAAGACAAATTTAGGGGACCCGTATATTTTATTTTTGCCAAGTGGCCCTCTCTTTCGGAGTTACAACCCCCTGAAGTTCGCCCCTAAGAATAATCTTTTTTTTTATATCTCAGAACCCTGTTGTACGAGAATCACTAAATTTGGTACACAGGGGTTTTATGACATGTGGAATCTGATGGTGCTACGTTTTTTGGCGAGGAACCCCTAAAGAAAATTTTTCGTGGCCCCCCTTGTCTTTGGAGCCAAAAAAATTTGGTCGCATATTTAAATTTCTTAAAAATTATCAGTCCACTAGAAATCCATTAAATTTAGAAACTTTTTGTCCCGTTATACTTTTTTCGTAAAACGCAATATTTTCGAGAAAAATGTCAAAATGTGATCGAATGCATATCGTGATTCGCCATTTTCCTCAAAAACATTGCGTTTTACGAAACAAATATCAAGAGACAAAAAAGTTTCTAAATTCAATGGCTTTCTAACTAACTAATAATTTTAAAAAAAATCAAATTTGCGACCAAATTTTTCTGGTTCCAAAGACAAGGGGGCCCACGAAAAAGTGTCTTATGGGGGTTTCTCGCCAAAAAGCGTAGGACTGTGAGATTCCACATGTCATAAAACCCCTGTGTACCAAATTTAGTGATTCTCGTACAACATGGTATTGAGATATAAAAAAGACTTCTTAGTGGCAGATTTCAGGGGGTTGTAACTCCGAAAGAGAGGGCCACTTGGCAAAAATAAAAAATACGGGTCCCCTAAATTTGTCTTAAGAATCTATGACCAAATTTTGTTGTATGAATTTCGGGACACCCTGTAGAGAAACGCATTTAGATGTTGTTACTTCAAAAGTATTAATACTCCAGTCGGCAGAGGCCGAAAAGTTACTGTTTTCTATTTTACATTTTCTTGATAACTCGGAAATAACTACACAGGAATATTTTAAATGATGAGTACAATAACAGGCTAATTTGCTGACAAAGTATTTTATCAGGAAAAAAGTTATTAACAATTTAATCGTGAAAAAAAATTTAGTTTTCTTTAAATAACTCAGCGGGATGACTTTGTACGGAAAAATGCTTAGGACATGATTTTGTTCGTAATAAAAATAGCTACTAAATGGCGGTGGTCCGATTACGAAATTTGCAATAACAAAGCCGTGAGATTGAAAAAACTGTATAAAACGCCAATTTTTTAAAGTGATTAACGGTGACGTATAAAACTAGGGTGACGTATAAAACCTTACCAAAACTGCAAAAATGAAGATACTTTTTGCAAATTGCTTTTGGTTTCTGCATATTTGCGCTATGTGTGTACCAAATTTCAAGTGTCAGCAGAGCTTCGAGACCAAATTTGGCAAAGTTTCGAGTTTCAGATGCCGATGAATGTATAACGCCTTATAGAACAAAAAGTTTTGCGCTCCTAATTTTCGGCTTTAGCGTCATTATTGTATATATATTGAACTATAATTTTCGAAAGTTTTATCACTTTTTGTTTATAATTGACATTTTTACAGCAACTTTAAAAAATTGACGTTTTATACCGTTTTTTCAATCTCGCGGATTTGTTATTGCAAATTTCGTAATCGGACCACCGCCATTTTGTAGCTATTTTTATTACGAATAAAATCATGTCCTAAGCATTTTTTCGTACAAAGTCATCCCGCTGAGTTATTACTAAAAAAAAAATTTTCACGATTAAATTGTTAAAATAACTTTTTTTCCTGATAAAATACTTTGTCAACAAATTAGCTTGTTATTATTATACTCATCATTTAAAGTAGACCTGTGTGGTTATTTCCGGGTTATCAAGGTTTGACACAGGCCGAACCTCTACCAACTGGACTATAAGTGAACCTTTGGGTAAATATTTCAACTTCTAGGTAGGAATATTTTTAGGTTTATTTATCCGGGTATCTAAGGGGTTGTATGAAGGATTTCAACTTTGAAGCGAGTTTTTTAGGTAGAATTAGACGTTCCTCAAAGGTAAATTTTGGCTTCCATATTTAAAGAACAATATTTTTTGCCTGTGTATTCAAATTTCCAAACAGGAGCCCCCGTGCATGAATATGTAACGCCCTACCTAACGAATTTTTGCAAAACATGACGATAATGACGGCAATTTGGTATTGTAATGTCTTAGGAAGAGACAAAAGGACCGTAATCGGTTCCAGGAAAGTATTCGTTAGGAGCCAGAGAGCTTCGTTCCGACGATTTCACCTTATTCATATTTCTAACAAATAGTTGAGAAAACCGCAAATAGTCGGGCAGAGAGAATCCACCTGCAGACGTCGTTGGTAATTAGTAACGGCCTTTTTGCTGGACGTAAAATAGTGCATAAAATCGCAAATGAATACTGGCATGTCAACGCGCTTAGTACGAGGGTATACTCGTGTCAGTGTGTAAAGGAAATTTTCCACCCTCAGTTCAAACACATTTTGTATCATAAAATTATTAAAAGCAACCTTGAAATTTATATTTTCGGTAACTGTTGTAAAATGTTGACATTTTAATTATGTTTTGTAAGTGTCAAAGAGACAGTGAATTAAGTTTATTCCAAATGTGGGGTCAAGAAGCTTCAATTACGGTGCGAGGATTATTTTTCAGTGG